ACCAACTCTTTGTTTCATTGATTCTTTGTAATGTTTTCCTAGTTTCTACTTTATTGATTTCAGTTCTCAGGTTGATTATTTCCTGGAGTCTACTCCTCCTTGGTGAGTTTGCTTCTTTTTGCTTCTAGTGCTTTCAGTTGTTGTGTCAATTTTCTAATGTGAGTTTTCTCCACTTTCTTCATGTGGGCACTTAGTGCTATGAACTTCCCTCTTAGCACTGCTTTCAGTGTGTCCCATAAGTTTGGGTATGTTGTGTGTATATTCTCATTAAACTCTAGGAAGTCTTTAATTTCTTTTTTATTTCCTCCTCAACCCAGAAATGGTGCAATTGGGTGTTATTCAATTTCCATGAGTTTGTAGGTTATCTGCAATTTGTACTGCTGTTGAATTCTAGCTTTAAAGCATAGTGATCTGATAAGATACAGGGGTTATTTCAATTTTTTGTATCTGTGGATGTTTGCTTTGTTGCCAACTATGTGGTGAATTTTAGAGAAGGTTCCATATGCTGCTGAGAAGAAGGTATATTCTTTTGTGTTTGGATGGAATGTTCTATAGATATCTGTTAAACCCTGAGTTGGGCCATAACTTCTTTCAGATTCTTTGTTTCTTTGTTATTTTTCTGTCTGGTGGTTTTGTCTAGTGGTGTAATGGGGGTGTTGAAGTATCCTACTATAAGTGTGTGTGGTTTTATGTGTGGTTTGAGCTTTAGTAATGTTTCTTTCACAAATGTGGGTGCCTTCGCATTTGGGGCATAGATGTTCAGGATTGAGATTTCATCTTGATGGACTTTTCCTGTGATGAGTATGAAATGCCCTTCTTCATCTCTTTTGATTGATTTTAGTTTAAAGTTCAACTTGTTAGATATTAGGATTGCTACACCTGCTTATTTCTTGAGCCCATTTGATTGGAAAATCTTTTCCCATCCTTTTACTCTGAGGTATCACCTGTCTTTGAAATTGAGGTGTGTTTCTTGTAAACAGCAGAAGAATGGATTCTGTCTTCATATCCATTCTGTTAGCCTATATCTTTTTATGGGTAAGTTAAGACCATTTACATTTAGGGATATTATTGTCCATTTTTCATTGGCTCTTGTTTGTTTTGGATTTATTGTTGGTGGTGTCATTGTGTGTGGATTTCGCCCTCCTGCTTCTTTTTGTGTTTTTGGTAAAATTAATAATATGGAACACTTCATGAATTTGCGTGTCATCCTTGTGCAGGGGCCATGCTACTCTTCTCTGTATCATTTGAATTTTAGTATATGTGAGGCCGAAGCGAGCACATGTTTATTACAAATATTTTATGAGTGCATTTTGATTTCTTGTGTTTTATGTGCTTTTTTATTTGGTCTACTATTTCTTGTTTTTTTAAATTTATTCTACTGTTATTTTAAATGTTGGGTCCAGTCTGTATTAGCCCCACATTGCAGGGGGCATTTATAATGGACTGATATCATTGGACTTGCAATATGAACCAGCTGAACTATCTGGATCTGACCCTAAGGGGATAAGTATGGGCAAGGCAAGACCAACTATCCAAAGATGTTGGGAGCCATACAATTTGGCATGAACATTTAATCCAAACTTGTCAAGCCACATAGTTATAGAACTGTCTTTTGATTATAAATGGCTTCTAGA